AAAAATTGGCAGAAACTGTAGGAGTTTTTATTATAAAGAAAAATCGTTATTGCCTCTTTATTTAAAAGAAAAAAAAAAGGTAATTAGCAGCCTATATACATTTCCCACTGCTGGGCAAAGACCTTCTATGAACAGAGGTATCACGGGGTCATGCTTAATGACACATTTTTTTTGGTTCCCTCACGATGTTCACCACTGAGCCCGTGATAATTCAACACTTAAATATAACAATTTCATTGGTGCTGGCACCGGGGATCGAAATTTGAATTTAAATAATTTAATTAAAAACGAGCGGCCTGAACTTTTTATTAATACAAAATGTATATTTGCATTATAATAAGTTGTCGATCGTCTAAAAATTGCTAAATATTGCTGCTTTACTTAACTGATATTAACTGTAACGTTGACTGTGTTTTTAAAATATTAATAGTTTTAGTTTTGCTATTACTGTGGTTTTTGCTGTTTATTAAACATCTACGATGTTTAACAAACATGATTAAATGAAATGTCAATTTTCTCCTGAAATTAACATTTCCTATTTGACGACTCATTAGCAGGTGAATCGAATGCCTGTGAATCCAATCTCGGCTTGTAATCATCAGTTGTCAAGCCGATTGATAAACGGATTAATTCATGAAATGCATTAACGACGTGCGAAGTTGTTGCCGTGTATTTTATGTTTCAAATTTCTCAAAAAGTATTATTTGTATATCCTCTAAAGAGACGCGTGTATTAAATATGTTTAGCAAATATATGACTGCGAATAATCCATATTATTATTATCCTCTTGCCCTTATCCTACCTAGGTAGGGTCGGCAGAACATGCGAATCATATTTTAAGTGGTTTTATATAGGCGGCTGGTCGTACTTTTACTAATGACGTCAAACCTCCTTGAGAACGAACACCCAGATCCGTAAAAATTATTCTTGGGTCACTACTTATCTCGTGTGAGAAACGAACCGGCGAACCCCAGCGCCGAAGCTAGTGACTTAGCAACTGCACCACCGAAGAATCCATGTATATTTCGTAACTAGCGACGCACCCCGGCTTCACACGGGTGCAATGTGTTATACATGTAAACCTTCCTCTCGAATCACTTTATCTCGTAAAAAAACCGCATCAAAATCCGTTGCGTAGTTTTAAAGATCTTAGTATACATAGGGACAGACAGACAGCGGGACGACTTTGTTTTATATGTAGTGATTGTTTGAAAGTCATGGTTACCCGATAAGATTAGGTATGTCTTTATAAATATTGAAAGTCCGCTTTAAATACAATCAAAGCCAATTCACTGGATGGTATACGAGTAATAATTTTAGTAATGGTTTCGCTGTGTTGACACGACTGTTGCCTGTAGATTGGTGGGGTGTCTCAATCTTCCAAAAGTTTAGACTTGCTAAAGATTGTTATAATATGACACCAATATGTAAGTAATGTAAACATTTTGATGGTTTATTGTTTGACGATTTTACTGGCACGGGGATTTCGAACTACATTTTTTAAAACAAATTCTAAAAAGTTAATTCTTTCAACTTTGCAAATTATTAACAAAAAGAACATACGTAATTATATAAAATAAAATTGTATTTATGTAATGTAATAATTTTTAATAAAGATTCCTCATAATGTGAGTGCGAAAATAAGAACGGTAATAAATTTCATTAGTACGACACTAACGCAACCGGCGAAATTGCTGGAACATTCTGAAAGTCCTACTGGCGCTCTGTGATAACTAGTTTAACAACTGCAATCGATAATATTTTGCCAGTGTTTCTCTGCGATTAAAGAAAATTGCAGGCTTCAAAACTGATAGTAGAATGTTATAAACCTAAAGTCATATAGAATTTTTACATGAGCATTCTATATTATTAAATCGATTCAAAGTGTACGTATCGGATATATGCTCAATGTTATATATGTTAATATATTTATTGTTTTCTTTCTCTGTTGAAACCATATACTCTGAAATTGCTTGATTACAAATCATTTAGTACATTCAAATAAATATATATTATAACCGTTGTAAATAAATCGTAAATACCTAAGTAAATACGTAAGTACCTAAATAAATGTGACACATTTGTGTATTAAATTTCGAGAAGACTGGATTTTACGTTAAAAAAATTCCTTTTTGATGTGTTAGCTATCGATATTATTAAGTGTAATTGAGTCAGTCTTCGTTGTTGCACGTCACGGAAGACCGACTTTACTTCTCACATAAAAAAATAGGGGTGGAAAATAGTCAGGAACATTTTACATTTACACAGGAAATTTTTACATTAAATTATTTATACCTATTTATTCATATATAAATAAAATTTAATAAAGACACATGAATGATATATTTACACACATAGGAGATACCTTTCTTTGTGTCTCCTTTCCTTTGGGGTGCTCCCCTTACACCACAGACTCTTATGTACGAATCTTTAGTGTACGCCTTTGTATGTCCTTTGAGCGGTGAGAGGATCTTAACAAGGTATTGTGCCAGTCTGTTATTTGGTGAGATGATCTAGCGACCATTTGGGCGCAAAGAAGAATTGAGTTTGTGAATTTTAGGTTACCCATACCACATTGGGGGCTTGGCGTAAGGTGGTATCATCGAATTAACTATCCAGACTCAATTTCTCGGAGTGTTCCTTTATTAGTTCGCTAGTTGATTTAAACGTTTTTGCGTAGTGCCGGTTTTGATCTTCTTGTATATGATTTCATCCGGCAACTTTTCTTTAATTTTTAAATGTCTGTACGTAGACGCTTCCGCTATTTTGTATACGAACGTCTACGTATCAAAAATAGCCGAAGCGTTGACTTTATCATTATTAATGCGTTTAACTACTTTTTAATAGGTCGGCGATGTCCACGGCAGTTAACATCAAGTGTACCGCTTGCTTGTTAGCTTTTTACATAAAACATCAAAATGTGATACATACAATTTTTTGGTAAGAAAAGTTCCACGAGAATATTTTAATAATTTTATTAAATTTAAAATAAAAGTAATTTGTGACTTGAGTTTTTATTTAAAGTGTATTAACATAAGTTATTACGGTAATTTGTATCCGCTTAACAAAATTTCAACTCCTTTTATAATATAAAGCTTTTCGGATCTCCTTTCATAAATAAATATCAATTATTTATATAGTCTACGATTATGAGATAGTACAGCTGCCAAATGTGACGTGTAATGAAGTTATCTATATAAAATCCAAATTATATTTTTTTTACTAGAAATAAATGTTGCGGGAAGAATTAGCAATATCAATTGATGAGACACAAAAGGATAAGGAAAATGAAAAATCAAATATTGGCGACGACGAATGCCAATACGAGTCGTCTAAACTATTTTCAAATAAAGATGTTGAAAATTTACAAATTGTCATTACAGAAATACCCATTGATAACGTTTCAAAAGAGAAAAAGGAAATTTCAGATACTGCTAATGCGGCACAATATACCGTGGCGTATAATTATGGACGAAATCAGCAAGCAGCTCAAGGACCTTTTGCGCAAATTCCGACGCCTAGTAAGTGACAAAAATTACTACAAAAATTGATCGCGCTGTCACCAATGATGTACAATAACAATATATAAATGACGCGTGTCTATACTGCGTGGCGTTTAAAACTTTTCCGTTTTACATTATATGACATACATAAGTGAATGTGATAGATGGTACAGAACGTATGATACGGAAAGAGATAGCACTCTATATAATTGCAGTCTAATTACATCAATGGGTGTACTTTTTGCCCCTCAGTTTCGGTACGCTAGTGTCATATGTATCTTATTTGTATATATTACTATTGTCACGACCCCACTCAGACACTAGGATCACTGCTTAGCTAACGTTGTTCTTTTAAGTGGAATCACTTCATCATCATCACGCCTCCCCCTTAGATTGCCACGAAGTACGATCCTGAGCCACCTGCATCCATCGACCCCCTGCACATTTGCACAGGTCGTCACTCCATCTAGTGGAAAATTACTTAACAAATTCTTAAATAAATATTATATACATTTTATTAAGATTGAGCTTAGTACTATTATGTTATATTGTTACAATAATTTGATACACGTTTAATGAAAATTAAGGGCTCTTAATGCTTCATATACTGGTCATTTCCTATGGTCATTACCATAACGATATATATATGTAGTGCATTAAATTTTTGGAGCACACAAAAGTGATGTTATAAATTCCATGTGTGTATATAACTTTTTTTACGATGTATCAATAACCGTGGAGAACTGAATTGATAAATTCATTCGTAGCGTTTTATTGATTTATGTGAAAACTTTATGAAGCGAAAAGCCAAAAATAGACGGATATTAAGAAATTAATTATCTTTGTTAATTCAAGGCCAGCTTTCCAATTAGTATGTTGCGACGTGCCTACTCGGCCATTATTGTTGTGAGATTCGATGTAGTTAGATAGGTGTAAATATATAATATGCTTCAGGTGAATTTAAAAACTCATAGAGCAATATGGATCTATAAATTTCTCTAGAACAGTGATAACTCAATATCCAGGCGCTCGAATTTAATTCAACATTCCCGAGCAACCTGAGTTCAATCTCCAGGGCAGGACCAATGAAATATTTAATGATAAGTGCCGACTTATCACGTGCTCAGCGGTGAATGAAAACATCGCACCGTGAGGAAACCTGCATATTTTCGAAATATCAACAAAAAATATTTCGATGATATTTGAAGTCTGCTTTATCCGATATGCTTAGTAGGGTCGCGTGGTGGTCTATGCCCTATACACTCTGTTCCGAGGAGGTCTTTGCCCAGCAGTGGAATATTTATAGGCCGTTAATTTACCTTACTTCAGTGTTTCTTACTTACGGATAACGAACTGCTAAGTAAGGAAATTATTCTATAAATGTTCTACATCATGTTTAATTTCTGTTTTATGCGTGAGTCCTCAGGTAGTTTTGCGTCTACATAAAGGAACTTAAATATCATTACATTTCTCTTAGATTTTAATGGGGGGAACGGAATGGGCCCACCGCTCGATTATGATCCCGCAACGCGCAATGATTTTGTGAAGTTGGTCCTTAGTCTTGTGTTGTTAATGCTCGTGGTAACGGCGGGATTCCTCGCGTTTGTGCTCACTACGTAAGTAAAACAGTTTACATGGATTGAGGTTAATTCATCGTTTTCAATGTGCATGTGCTGCGATAATATGACTCATGTTATAACTGCGCACGTTTGTGGGTCAGTTTTTTTTTTGTTACTTTTACAAAGAAAAGTTTTGAAATTTGAATACAATTTGGAGCCAAGATGATACCTACGCGAGTCAGAGGAACACAAATACCTCGCATTGACAGTGCATTTATGTTTAGCCATCCACGTGGCATATGCAGAACGTTTTACGGGCTCTATGCAAGATCATCACAGTCATCATCATCCTTTTGCCCTTATCGCACCTAAGTGAGATCAGCACAGCATGCTAATCATATTGTAATCGGTTTTGGCTATGTTTTTTACGACCGGCGGCCTACCTGACGTCAACCCTGGGAAAAAAATATGAACCAGAACATTGATTTGTGGGTCACACAAATACGTATCCCGTGTGGGAATCGAACTCAAGACCCCCGCCGTGGAAGCCAATGGCTTCGCAACACTGAGCTCTATGCTAGATCATTAACTTAAAACTTCTAGTAACTGAGCGAGAAAATCATTCAAAAATGAAATATGGTTTAATAAAGAAATTGGTGATTTATTAAACATTAAAAAAAATAAGTTAAACATTACACCATTTTAATTTTCTGTTAATTTTGTATGGATATTGTGCATGTTTTTTAAACAGCCTCTACGCAAAAAGTTAATTAAAGAACATTTCTTTATATTCTCATAAAACTATTTAAAAGAAAGTAAATGAAATATGTATTATTATGACAACTTAAACGAACACACAAACAATACTTAGCCATTTCTCACAGTTCGATAGCATTAATAAAATGACATTGCTTTCAGGCCTTCGGTTAAGGATTTTTTTCGTACTAGCGGATGGACCCTGTCATTGTTTGCCATGTAAGTTGCAATACATGAAGAAGTTGACCTGATAAAAAGTCATAATCGGCACCCACGGAATGGACGTCTGGCACCTGGGGGCTGTAGATTATGTGACAACATTTTGAAAAGTGGGCCCGGTATTCATGATATTATCAGGTCAACTTCTTCATATGAAAGTTTAAAGTATTTTTTCACATAAATTAAAAAAAAATATCATGAAAAGTGAGCTTTGTCTTAACAACTAATGGGTTTGATATTTCACACAGTTCGCTCAAGGCAAATAATACTTATTACTGCCATACCTATTAGTAATGTTAATGTATTTTAAGTGCATAACATATTATCTTTAAATAATAGTCTTAGTAAAAATTGTAATAGTAAATCACATTAACATGATTTAGAAACGATAAAAACATTTCAGTATGATGCTTTTGGGCCTGAACTACGCAATCGTATGCAGTCCGTGTACGCGGTATCCGCCGGGCAACTTTTTATTATTGATACTAACGGTAAGAAACGTATGGTGATATGCCCGCTCTGATTTATATACATACTAGCTGACCCAGCAAACGTTGTTTTGCCATAAAAATTATTTGTAGGTTAGAAAAAATGTTTTCTTTTCACTTGATGAAAAAAAGATCCTTATCACCTAGGAGTATGAAAATAGATTACGACTAATACTCAGGCTTACCAAATATAAATGTAAAATTTCATAAAAATCGATGAAGCCATTGCGGAGAAGTATGGCAACTAACATGGGGACACGAGAACTTTATATATATAGATATATAAGACGATGTGTGTACGTATGTTTCCTATGGACTTCAAAACGACGATGCTGATTGTGATGAAATTTTTAAGCAATTTACACATTCGTCAAGTGGGAACCCAGATTGCCGCATAAATCATAATTTTTTAGTTTGAGTCAGTAGAGAGAGTAGTTAGCCAAGATTTGTTGATTAAAAATATTAAGTATGTCTCATAAAATTAAGTGTTCTTGATGCTGGGAAATTTAGCAATAATTTGTTTTGGATAAAATCTTATAAAATATTATATTTATTTTTGTATGATTTATTTTCCAGGTTTTTGCTATGAGTATTATTGCAGCTCATGTCACTTCTCGGTACAAAACCGAAATCGTGTTGTACGCAACAGTAGCCACGGCAGCCGTAGTCTTCGTCTGTGTTCTGTTATCATTTTCCAAAGTGAGTTTTATGAATTGTAGCTATATCCCGCATGCATTGAACGTCTTTAGTTTTATTTGAAAAGTGCATTTAATAAAGATGGCAAACAAGCAAGCCAATCGTTAGTGACGGCTATATTGATAATATTATACGTAGTTATGGATATTATGATTTCTAACTTTGTTTTAGTAGTAGTCATTAACCAATATTTGAAATGGTGCTTACTTGTAGTTTAAACTTTCTGTATGCGACATCTAGTGTGTATCTTTTACAGCATACAACACCTCACGAAGAACATTCAACGGTCAAAATTTGTAACCAGAAGCCGCAGGTTCGAATCCCGCAGCGCCGAAAGATTTAGTCCATTTATCTTCGAAAATTTTGTTTAAAATAGAAACTAGCACCAAACATAAAAAGTAAATCTAAAACTACCCAATCACTATATAATATAAAACAAAGTCATTTTGCTGTCTGTCTACTTAGATCTATGTATGCTTAGATTTTTAAAACAACGCAACGAATCTTGATGCGATTTTTTTTTACTAGATAGTGATTCAAGTGGAAGGTTTATATGTATAATTCATCGCACCCGTGCGAAGCCGGGGTGGGTCGCTAGTTAAACAATATTTTAGAAGTACGTATTGCGAACAGTTACATACTACATATTTTTTTTCTTTCAGTTTGACTTTACAAGTTGGATGCTGTACGTGGTCGTTATTGGCACTGCCTTTTCTGTTATTGCAATGATCGTCTTATTGACGATGCTTGTTACTGGCACTGTCATGAAACCGCTAATACTAGTCATCCTCATCGTAGGGACATTAATAGAAGTTATTGTAAGTACAATCACTCACAAAATACGCTCATGGACACCTAATATCTATTGAGTACATTTTATTTTATTTTTTAATGTTCCCTCATACTTTTTGAGTAACGTGATATTGATCATATGTTGTAAATGTTAAAGTTTTTAAATTTTTATTTATTTATTTTTTATTGCTTTAGCAGCTTTAGTTGTGACACTCTATGTGTAACATCTACATTAAATTTGGGCTACAGCGGGGTATACGTACCGACACATTTTAAGAACTGGCTTATATAAATATATAATAAATATAGCGCATTTAGAAAAATTCTTTCGTAAGTTTTAACCAATATTTCCATGACGTGGCATCCAATATTTAATGATGCAAATAATATGTAAATGCCTAAATTGCTTTTTACTTATTAATCTATACCATAATATTTTTAGTTAAAACTTAATTCATTTATTAATAAAATAGACTAGTTCTATATTTTTATTTAAACATTGCCCTCACTTTGGGATAACATTATCCTGTGTTGTAAGGACGTTTTACAAACATGAATTGAACGAGGACAAACACCCAGATGCGAAACAGCTATCTGTGGGCCGCACAAATATTTGTCCCGTGTGGGAATCAAACCCACGACCCCCGACGCCGAAGCCAATACCTTGGCAACTGCGCCACGGATTCATCAAATTAATTAATTTATTTAATCCTTTAGATGCTGACCATACAGCTTCAAACCATTCTTGGAGGAAGATCCGTAGAACTCTCTGAAAACGACTACGCTCTAGGTGCATATATGTTATATACTTCAATTGTTAGTATTTTTATCAAACTAGTCCAAATTTTGGGTATATTAAATGAATCGTAACACTGAAATTATTTATCTAGATTGAAAATGTATTAAACGCTACTACAACCAATAAAAGTCTTTATCATTAGTTAAAATGTTTAAACAATAAGCCTTCACATTTATTAATTTAAAAATTGCAATTTTTTAATTTATTATAACGAGTGCGATTGTTTAATTTTTTTGAGGATGGAATGTAAACTATGCAATGTAAAACCCAAGATGCTTAGTGGTCATTTAGTGTGACTTGGTTCAAGGACAGACCCATTAAATAGGAAAATCTGCTACGTATTTTAGCATCCTCTATTGACCTAGATTCTTTAATTTACTCTATGGAGATTATAGAAGAGACTATCAGATTAAGAATTTAGTTCTCTATTAATGATGTACACTGTTTTATATACATAATAATTGCTAGTGTATGAGTAGTGACACGCACACGCACACAAAAAGATGATGTACTCAAATTACGCCAATTGGTGTAATTACATTGCAACTCTAAAGACAGTTATCTATTCCTGGATCATATCACACTCACTTGTATAATTATTTCATATAATTGTAAAGCGGAACAATTTTTAAACGCTGTTGTTAAATATGAAACTCATTTTATCCTTTTAAACAGAATTATACGTCTAAAAAAATCGTAGCAAGTCACTTTATTTTTCGGTTTTGAGTGGTATAAAGTTACTTACCTCCATTCAATTTAATGCATGTGTCTTATGAAGAAATTTTGACTGGAACTAGAGTAAAAACAGTTCCGAGTTTTTCACACAAATTTCCCTTCATTTTTAACAGTTTCTAATCCCATTTGAAGGCTTTAAATCTTTGAGAATCTCCTTTTATGCTGAAGGACCTTACAGAACCTACAGTGTCAGTTATTTTTTACACGATCTCTTAAACGTGACTCTTCTTATTGAAGCAAATAAGCGTACTCTTTGAAACAAAGTGGTAAAATCGATCATATTTGGCGGTATGTCCTAGTTTTTAATACTCAGACTGGTTATCGAAAGAAAATAAAGACACGCAACGTCTCTTTTCAAGGCCAAATATTTGATTAAACTACCCGGTCGTGGACGTGATTCTTTCTACGTTGGGTGAGGTCAAATGGAAGGACCTGCGACTTCAGACACCATATCACTATTTTAGTTATTGTAATGTATGTGTATTTTATCCGTGGTCAGGCCACGCACTGCTGTTGAAAGAATGGACAGGCTCGTCCAAAAAATTGCCACGGCCCACAGAAGACTGGCGCGAAGTGAAAGTATTATACTTTCCTTCATCTAATGAGTGAAGTAGTCGACAGCCACTTTTTTAAAAGTTTGAAATGCTTAAAATTTAACATCAAGTGAACACCTGTTCATTTGTCAACATTTTCACATGCAAAGCAATATTTGACCCGCCGCTATATAAAGAATATCATTATGTCCTCGCGTAGCTATAGCTATACAGTATTAGCAATTTTCATTAATGCATTATGCTTTGACACTACGATTTTTCTCTGCAAAATAGATAATTATCTTCGCTGTCTGAAATAATACAAGATACTAGAAATGTGTAAGTTTTCATCGCATCCTTGTTTTTCTTAGAAATTAAACAAAACAATGTACAACATTCACCTGTGAGATGAAATTTTAATGTTGTCTTCGCCATTTTATTTATCTCTTCTTCTTCGTTGCACTCTTCATTTCTGAAGTTCGTGTCTAACTAGAGTTGGTTCCTGTTGCTGTTAGTAGTGTCTGCTAGTTTCTACCAGGAATCTCTGTGGTTAGCCTGTCGCAGAGCGGTGGTATTATTATGTTAGGCAGAGTAGAGGGGAAAGATCTTGAGGTAGAGTACCACACCACTGGTCCGCCCAGATCAAGTAATATCACTTACTCTGCCTTTTACCATCATCCCAAAATAATCAACGTAATTTTAAGTTACCGTCAATAGATTCATTGACGACGTCACGGTATAAGCGGGTGTTCATTAAAACTTAACATGATTTTAATATCACAAATAGTGTAATATGAAGTCTAAAAGTATAATTGACAATTAAAAAGTTATATTTAAATAAAATCTTCATCTCACAATTTTCACAAATCAATTCATTTTACGTGGCGTAATTAAGAACTTGAGTTCTGTACAAAATACTCTTGTCACATTCTAATATAGTAAAAATTGTCGTTGTTCTACAGAATTGACACTTGTCACTTTTTGATAGAATTACTATTTGTATGGAATATGAATAATAATAATGTAATGTAAATAGTCAGAAAAACATTATTTGAAATTTTTAGTCTAAACTCAGTGCTGCAATAATGTGATAATCTATATTTGGCGTTAAAATCTAAATCGAACAAATGTGTTCACGTAGTACAAAAAAAGATGATAAATCGCACCGCGATTGCGCCACATGTCACCAGCCGAGCGATGACAGCGATAATACAATTCAGAGTTCAATTGAACTCGCTAACGTCGATAGCGAGTTGCAGAAATCAGACGGCGGGAGGGATGTCCCACAGAAAATTATCGTACGCGAGAAAATTTTAAAAGTCGCCGATAAGGACGTGGAAGTAGGAGAGCGTATACGCAATGGTAATCCTAGAACTGTAAATTCTGAGATTTTAATTTTTTTTGGTTTTATTGGGATAGCTCTGTTATTTATTATAACAAACGACTTTAAGCTAAAGTAGTTTTAAAAATATATAATAATGTAGAAGTAGTATAATAAGATCAACATTAAAAACCAAGCAACTTAAATTGGAAGTTTTAAAATTATTTTTGTTTATACATACCTTTTAATATTTCGTGTGTTAAAACCTGATAATTTACAGTTTCAGAAACTTACCCTCGTGACTTTTGTGACAAACCTCGACGTGAGGATAGCGAGGAACTGCGTAGGAAGGCGTTCAAGATGTATAAAAAATACCTAGAGCAAAAGAAGGAAGAAGATAGGTGTCCCCCTTACATTTACGTGTGTCCACAACGCCATAAAGGTAGATTAGTGATTTAAAATTTATTTATGCATGACATATTTACAGCGGACAACAAGACCACTTTTACACTCATGCTATACCTTCGAATTCATTAAAATTTAATTGGAGCCACAATTTCCCATTTTACCTACCCAGTAAAGACAAGTTCAATGCAAACTGCAACATTCTTCAGGATCTATAATTTTTCTGGCCTTCTTAATTTCTTGCATTAGGTATATATGTATGTTATTTACTAATGCCTAATAAAACAGTTAAATACACATTACACAGGTTATATACTTAAAAAAAAAATTGTTTAAAAGTAACTAAATACAGAAAAATCTAAATCCCCTGTAAATTACAGAATAACATTTTATTTATCCACATTATCAACATTAAATAAACATAGCAACAAATTATCATAGTAAATGCCATTTATTATATATTTCTTATTGTTATTTTCATATTTATTCTCATTACTTAAATTTTTATTATTCTTGCATCTTTTGCTGCGCCTACCTCTCATCTCTCTATAGACTCTCACCACATTCTGGGTTGACTGGGTAGAGAATGCCTTTGGGCATTAAGTCCGCCGTTTGTTACGTTATTTTATTGAAGGTTGGCAATAAAGATTAAATAAATAAAATAAATAAATACATCTATTTAAATTACATACTAATGTTATAAATCCACGCGGCATGCTGCCAAAATCGCTAGCTGCTTTTTCTCGCTGAATAGTTATGCTTAACCTTTAAATGTAAAGTATTTACATTCTTTACAAGTGTACGTTATAATGAATTTTAATGAGCTCGTTTTTCTTTCAGAATGTGCGTATGGACAGGAATCAAGCTGTTACGATTCGACATTCAATATTTTTTTGGTGATCGTCTTTATGATACTTTCCGTTATGCTTGCATGCACGACAGGATTTATTTATGTGGTGCTCCATACGTAAGTATCATATTACGAGTATGCACAAGCTTTGATTCTTTTACCATATTAGTAAATAGAGACATTTTGTGCTATGGAGGTTTCATCAAGCCAATAGATATGGGCATAAATATGGTCAGTGGTGGGCTTTACTTAACTCTGCATCATATACAATTCAAGTAAATCGATGCACTCAAATAAGCAACGGAAATTTTCTGTTACACATCTTTTAAATTGGACCACGCTAACACAGATTGCCGGCCATTTTAGTACTGTTTTATGAATAAAGAGGTGTTCAAAATCATTTAAGTGGCAATGATTTGTCTTTTTTGTTATTCAAGTTCTTTAAACCTAACTTTACTGTGGTAAGGCCACGCAACAGTCGTGCTGCAGCGGCCCATGGGCAGGTCCATCCGGGTAAGTACCACGACCTCTTTTTTTAATCTGAATTTATTGTTACAGTGATTGGCTGAAAGATTTTTTCCGAGAATACAGTTTGTATATAGCTATACCATCATTGTAAGTTATTGGTTAAGATTTTAGTTAAATAGTTATTCAAGGCAACATATTATACGTAAGATTATTTTGATTAATTGAATTTTACGCCTTAATAAGTATTGATGAAAGTAAACAATTTTTTTAGGATTGTTATGATGGTGATGAATTATACAATGACGTGTTCCGATTGTGCAAAGGTGTTGCCATGTAACTTTATCTATCTTCTACTTGCGGTAAGATGTTATGAAAATATTAATAACCCTTTTCTCGACATAATATTTACTCAGCAGGCAACTCACACAATACTTTGATGCGGTATATGTGAATATTATATCATCAAGTCAATGAATTATATTAGCTACATTTCTTTTAGCTTACTACTAGATGCATTGAAAACCAAAGCCAACATTGATTCAGTATATTAAACCCATGTGTTTAATGAGTTTATTAGTTATTACGATTATCTTTATATCTATATATAATTCTTCGGTGCGTGTATGTACGTAACTCTAGTAAACGACTGGACCGATTTTAATGAAATTTTTTGTGTGTATTCAGGCCGATTCTAGAATGGTTTTGTTCCTCCATTCGGTCCACTACAATTTTTTTATAACTTGTCGAATTTAAGTCGTATGTACAGGACAACGTCTGTCGTTTCCGCTAGTATTCTCATAAATATATATTAAGGTCTTAGAAGTGTTAAGAAAACGTTGTGTAGTAATATGATTCTATTTTGCAGGTAGCATGTATAAGTACTTTGGCGACTGTTGCCTCGGTGTTACTTGATACGTCAATTATTTTATTGATTTATGCCGCTACCGCATCCGTTGTATTCTTCTTCACATTGTTAGCCTATACTCACGTGAGTGCTTCTTTATTTAACTAACTATAAAACTATACCGCTGTTACTTTTTATAAAGAACAACTATCTTGTCAATACGTATTATTTTGGAATATATTTTGAAATATATACTTACAAGTGGGGTTTTCTCCATCAATACGTTCATTAGCCTCCTTTATTATTGCGTTCTTGTATATTTACCAATGCCAAATACCTACAAGAAGTCACAAAATTAAATTTTCGTCCAATCATCAATACTTACATACTATGTATTTAAATTTTTGTTACTAATATATTTATTTGTATATTGCTTATTGGTTATGAAACTTAACCGAACCGATTTGTTTCTTAATTTTTAAAGTGTACCCTACCTTATGAGTCCCTGCAGACCCTAGCATTAGTCGGGATTAATACCCGATCGAGGAACACGTTGGCTAAACCAACATCGTGGTGGTCCATCGTACCCAAATTACCTGATAACACTACACGCGCACAAAACGATATGTGTAGTTATGTGCGTGATTACGTGACTCACACAATAGGGGTATATTACATAAATATATTTATGCTAATTCAAGACTACTTCATCTTGCAAAATAGAAGTATCGCAAGAAGTGATAGAAGTTGGATGAATGGTTTTTAGCTAAATTATTGAAGGATAACTGCTTGTTTGAAAGTGCTTATTGTAGCTTATTCTTTATGCTGTAGTTTCGAATTAATTTTAATGTATAAAATTCCCTCTAATAATAATTTTTGTAAATAAATAAATTTATTAATATCCTCCCTAACATTTATGTTTAATATTTGAGTTTACGTTTCGTTTTTCCTTTTTATTTTCAGTTCGACTTTACTAAGTGGATTCTGTACGTGATAGCCATATTCTTGACGCTGTGTGCTGTGTTGTTGTTGGCTACCCTTAGTAAGAAATACTTGCATGTGCGTTATGGGCCCATACAATTCTTTGCGCTTATCGTTTGCGCGGTTATGAATGTCTTGGTAAGACTTTTCCATTACATTTAAAATTATTTAATCACGGAGGGGTTTTTTTTAACGTTGATGAAATGCCCACGCATTTCATATGCCTACGCAATGCGTAAAATGGCAATGGCCCAGGCAAGCCGAAACATTCAGCGCGCCTTCCTATTCGGCCCCATTTTTATAGCCAACGAACTCCCCCGAGTTCGCGGACCAGAGGCCAGAGCTAGGAGCACCAGACCAGAACTAGTGCTAATAAGCAGCAAACCGCCCAGTCTCCAGCGGTGGACCTGGCCTGTAGCTCCGCCGCCCACCACGTTTCGGCTGCAGAGGGTAGGGTGAACGACGAATCGCTGTACAAACACTCCTCTTCCCCCGCAATTCCACCACCACTGCATCATTCATGCAGCCCCGCCGAGTCATGGAGGATATGGAGAGCGGCCAAACGCAATACCTAAGCTCCTTCCTCCGCGACTCCTCTTCGGTAGCAGAAGACAAGGAGAGTTTCTCCTTCTCTACCACCCTGCACCCTCCAGAACACATCGCATTGAGTGGGCTCAAAGAGCTCAAACGGACCGGCCCCGGGTCTTACATCGCAGGCCGGACCAGTGAGGGTTCCTCTTAGCTTCGCCGTGGGTGACCAAGACACGGCTACTAAGCCAGGACAAGGCGGGAACCCGGTGAGAGGGGATTTGATCGCGAAGGCTGTCTTGCCAAAAGGCTGGCTTGAAGGCAGACTTCTAATCATACATTGTGGTTAGGAATAGCAAGCGCTATCACACATACAAATGTGCGAGTAATTTTAAACGGAACACATCGAAAACATAGTAAAGTCTTTGCTGGTTGTGGAGGGATAACATTACTCAAAACTTAAGTGTACCAACAATTCTTTATATTAACAGCTAAACTAAAATGTAATTCCATATAATAAATATGTTAAAATAGCTAAACTACATTAAAAGGTATTTAGAAAACAAAAATGATAATTAAAAAAATAATATTGGTTATGGGTTCAAATTGTTCTCAATCAGTATTGACGTTAGGCTGGTCATAACATACCGACACCAGTACAATTAACGACAGGGTTCTGAAAGAAAAAGAAAAAAAAATAAGAATTGTCAAATATAAAACATTTAAAAAACCACAAGAAAAAATATTTAATAACTCTGGTTCGTTTCTCGGTTATTTTACAATTTTTAAATTTCAGATACTAGTGATAGAGCTACAGTTGATATTGGGAGGGAGGTCGATGGACTTAGACGAAAGTGATTATGCGATAGGAGCTTTTCTTCTGTATACAGCTATAATAGAACTGTGTCTGTCTCTGGTTCAAGCCACGGGCATCCTTGAAGATAATGATGTCTGCTAACGAAATAAATCAAAATTTGTGACACAAGCTTTCGATATCTTTTATTTTTAAAAACTATAAAATGCCCTCGTAGACTTTCACTTTGAAAAAGTTTTCTGCCTCGGCTTAATTTATTATTTAAGAACTGTAGTAAGACCACGCAGTAACGTCAGTTGTTGCACGGATGGGCAGGTCGTCTGGGAACCACAATTTACTTTTTTTTTCACTTTTACTTCTGATGTTTTTGATATCAGTCCGCAGACTATTAAAGCTACATCTTGTACGGCCCTTCGTGTTCGTGGTTGAACTGTCGGGTCCCACGATCCGCGCTTGCAATCAAGATCGCCTACAATTAACATAGGTGGGCATTGGTGCAATAATAATGTTTCTACATCACGCATCATTATACTTCGCAATTTTAGAAATATAAATCTACTTTATAATCGCGCAAGCAGTTCGTGATTTACCTGGTTTTTTTCTCAAGAAAAAAGACCGAGGTTAGAATCTACCCAAGTTTGTATGGACCATCTTAAGCGGTCAAGTGTTTAAAATGTTGCGAAACGCATAGCGCGAGATTAATATTTGACAGTAAAGACAAGATGGCGTTTATTAGGCTCATGTTCTCGACAATAGCACCGAGCCTTTGTGAGAGATCGGCGGCGCGGATTTGATAACATTAATTATCCCGACTCATGGATATGCGGTATACAGCGTGTCGTTACAACCGCGACAATAAATGAACACACGTCTAACGCTATTTGCAATAATCATAAAAAATCTAAAACGTTAAAAAATACACAATTAAAAAAATTTTATTTTCAAACAAATGAACTACATAAAAAGAAACAAAATTTGTAACATCCTATACAACTACAACTGACTGATTCATACATTCAGAGACTTTTTCATTCGTTGCCGCAACGTCGCATTACTAATCTCTCCTTCTAACAGTATGATTTATCTCTTTTAAATTCATTTAACCCATTTGGGACCTTCTACAAATGAACTTTATTATATATACTTTATTGAACACCATAAAACATAAAAGGAAATGTTACAGAACTATAAACTTAAGAGGTATAAATAATAAGACTTTACGTTACAGTTTTATACGTAAGGATGTTCTAAAATTGTTTGTTTTGGAAAGTATTATAACTCTGTAAATATTGTGTTTCAAGAATGTAAATGTTTAAAACAATTTTAATAAGCTATCCTCTATATGTGTATTGATTTATGGTCGCGTTAGTAGCGCCACGCTGTATATATATTTTATTGCATTTTTGTGTTTTTTTTGTAAGGAATTTTATATACATACATAGATTTCACGTTGACGAACACCCAGATTCGAAACAATTATCTGTTGGTCACACAAATAGTTGACGGCCCCGACGCCGAAGCCATTACCTTGGCAATTGCGCTACGGAGTCATCGTAATTCGGTTACTTGGAATTATTTTCGATGCACGTACGGCCTAGTTGCCTGTTGCTTGACGGGATGAGGTAACAACTCCGGGTTGTTCGTTCAAATGTATGTAGCCGCCGTGGCCTTGATTTTACAAATTGCAAATATTTATATCAACTGCCATCCTTGATTCAAATCCATAGATAGTGGGTAGGTTTGAAATATTATTTCTCAGTATACATCTATAATGCATGATTTAGTTTCATTGCTTTAGACCCTGAATTCGATCCTGCAATCTTATTATCGCAGGTCCTATGATCTAGTCACTAGGCCATTGCCGCAAGATGTACAAAATAAATTTTTATTAGTATCCACCTACCAATACCATCGTGTGAAACATGCATATTTTTGTGATATTTATGCTAATACAATTAATTATTATTTTATATAATTTCATATATTGTTTTAAATCACAAGCGGCTTGTATAAGAATACAGTTCCTCCGAACAATGAAGCTAGAATTATTTCTCAATTAGTATTAAGGAAATATTGCGTCACCTGCACTGGAAATGTAACCATCTAATGTGCGGACTAATGAATGATCTCGTTAGTGAAAAATTAGAATCCTGAGTACGTGCTCGTGCTATGAATGATAAATATTGAAAAAAATCATCTGATTTATGGTGAAAGAATGCAAATAAAATACATACATTTTGCCTATTCTCTTAGTACTTTTTATGCATCAGAGCGTTAAAAAAGTAATTCAATAATTTTTTCATCAAATCTTCGAAGATGTGGCACATGAACAAATATTTGCAGAGCTACATCAGAGCGTCTGAAACATGAACAAATCATGAATGTCTACAAATTCTTTGCCGGTTGTGTTGACATTTTAAACGTAAAAAATGGTTGCACCAGAATACCAATATTTAAATAAGATATCAATGCAAAAGTAACTTACGCCTTGAAAGAGTATATTATTAGTATTTCTAATTGTACGTTCAATGAAATCACGAGAAATGAAAATAATTGACTTAGATATGTTCCACAATTGTTTCAATTTACTTGTTACATTTCAAATATTCTAGTAACTTTGCTTTATTATGTATCTCGAGCGAAATAATTCTAGATTTATCCTACGTTTCAAATGAACGTACGACAGCCATTCTAAATCGTTACGACCGGCGAATTTTGAAGAAGGGAGCATTTCTTTCCTGATTCTACGATATGCCAGATGTTCATGGGCAGCGGTGATCACTGCTGCTGAACAGCTTGTAAATGTCCCACTGTTGGTTAATCATCTTGAACCGTGGTTTTGGGTTATCTCTTTATAAAAACTACGTTATTAATTATGACCATTGATAAAGTTTATATACAAAATCAACTTTAAAAAAGATAAACACTGGCTACTAAAACGATTTTTTTTTCAGAAAAAAATCTTCTAATACATTGTTTTTATGCTCAGTATTTATATTTTCAGTTCATATTTTTCCGTTTTCAGAAGCTTGGCAGTAAGTCTGCCCTTTCCCGGTGATTTGTCATTCTTAAGATGATTTAGCCATTCTAGGCTTTAATTAACCCGGTTGACGTCCGGGATATTTTCGGAGTTTTTTCGGACAAGATTCGCTCTATGGTCATTACTAACTTCTGATTAAACTTCTGGTCTAATGCTGTCAGTCTTCAACTTCGTTAACTGGTTATTTCCGATAGACAGATCGCTGGCGAAGGCTTTGGAGCCTAGGTTTCGCTGTATACCTCCCCCAATAAGAGCTGTATTGAAGCTGCGTAAGTCTGCTTGTATTTGGAGATCTGTATATTAAGCCACTTGTAGTCTGACTTAAATTTAACACAGTTAAATTTATCAACACATTCGTAACCATGATTCAATCGTTTCACAAAAGCAATTTAGCCCTCTGCCCGCAATATGTCTGTGCAGCATTCCACTAATTAGACGAGCTCGAAGCATATATAGCTCGTCGCAAGTTAAGCGATCCGATCGTGCTCTACATAAGTTTCACTCAATGATTTCTCCATGTGGCTATACATTGTTAAATTAAATTAAATTTATTTACTTGCCAAATTTATGCTGTTATTGATCCTTGAATGCGTAAATTAAAAATTGACTAAAGTCTCTAGACAGACCGACTGTTGACTGGCACACCTTATAATTAATGGCTGCCCAGAAGGCTAGAGAAGAGATATATATTAATTATATTAATTACATTGTATCAAACGTCCATTTTAATCATTTTATTTTTTAAAAAAAATACAAAAATATGGATATAAAATTCAACAAATAAAACAGACTTAATCCTTCATGAAATTGCGTCACGAGTTTATTATAATTATATTTGTAATATATATTTATAAAATTCGTCGGGAGTTTAAAACGAATATGAACCGTGATATAAACAACAATAACTATAATAAAACTAATTTGCAGATAGTTATTGTTTAATATAATTATGAAAATAATAAACATTATTAGTTAAAATCAACTTGATTCTTACTTTTGCCCTAAATCCGAACGATGGCACGTAAAAGTAGAACGCTATTCTTTATCTAGTGTTTAACTTTAGCTGACGGTTTTGCTTTCGGTCCGTAGACCATGAAAGCCTAATTGAACGCAGACCCTTTAGTTTAGTTTATTAAACTATTCACAAAAATATAGTATTATTACCATTACAACTATTGAAAAGACATTTTCAATATTGTGGAGTTGGTGATTGCTTTCTGAAATTATCGTTAGGATTTTTTCTTGAAAATTATATTTTGTATTTGATGATTTGAGGATGATGAAAATGTGAATGTGCTATTTTTACTGCTTAAAGTATAACTAAGAGATATTATATATTATATTAATAATATGTATATATTTTATTAATGTGAGAATTTGTCAAACGAATAGGCGGTTCACCTAATGTTAATGAATACCGCAGCCCATAGATATTTACAATAAGTGAGGGCTAGTACATACGTTGACAAACTTTATAAAGAGTCGGCCCAGGTTGCCTCACTCACCGGCAAAACTGCGAAAGTACTTCTACTTCCACACGTCTTCTGCGATCACCTGTCTATTTTCGGGTTGCCCTACCACAATTTCAACTAATAAAATGCATCAACTTAAACTTATTCGGGGGTTAAAATCAAAACTAAACGTGAAAAAATCTGTACAGTTATTTTACTGAAACACGTAATATTCGGGTTAATTTAGGAGATCATTTAGTAAAAGTTACATATCCCATTTGCCTTTAATATCGGATAACATTCACTATATTTGCCAGAACGCGTCAAATTGATTTTGATGGTGATAGAATAACGGGGCTTCAATTAATATATGTTCGCGGACGAGTTGTCCATTACTGAGCAATTTATCCTGACAAATTGTGTCAAATTTACATAAATTCGCACAACTGTCACCAAAGTGCACTGTGTCACATTTATAAATTACACTCTACTGTAGATATTAGTTAAAAATATTAGTCCCGTGAAAAATACTTACGAACAGATATCGCAGTGATCCTAAGAAGTAAGATAGTGTCCTGATGTTGTTACGATGATTTTAATATTGCCAATTACTAAAATAATCATCACAATGCTAATGATACCCAGTTCGA